AAAAGCGAAGTCAGTGAGAAACCTGACAAGGTGTTTGAACTGACCTAGCTAAACATGTCTGTACATGAACCGCATGACAAATAAGGGGTTAATCCTGGTTCATGAATTTTGACTAAACTCATTCATAATGATTTAGCGTATGATATTCTTGATGTCACAACCGAAGAAGTAGAAAGTGCAATCGACAAATTGAAAACAAATAAGGCGCCAGGACCAGATGGGTGGTGTATCACAGAACTGTTCAATTTTCTAGACCACGGCAATATTCAAAGCTTGACCGCATGTTTCAACGATTTTTGGCGACACAAATATGTTCCGGACGATTTTGCCCGAGCACAGGAGCACAGATAGCAAGCGCTTACAAAAAGGGAGATCCAGATACTGTAATCCAGAAAACTATCGTACTATCTCATTACTGAACACAAGTTACAACATGTTTGCCTACATTCTCAAAAAATTGATTCTGACATTATTGACGGACACTTGGCCAACACACAGTTCGGTTTCAGAAAAAGCAAATCCACAGTAGAACCTGTGTCAGATGACTCGCTGATTTCGCTGAACAGGGTAATGACCCACTGTGGCTCATCTTCTTGGATTGGGAGAAGGCGTTTGATAAACTTAACCATGAAAACATATTTGCATCATTATCTAGATTGGATATGCCAGATAGCATCATATTTGCAATTAAACCAATCTACAGAAACCCTGAGTTCAGAGTTGTTGTCAAAACCCACTTCAGCCCATGGCTGAAACAAAGAACGGGAATACGGCAAGGACGTCCTTTGATCCTTTGATACCCATATCTGTTAATCCTTATAATGCACTGCATTTTTCAAGATGTAAAAGTAGTTTCAACGATCCAAGAAATCAGAAGACCTTCCAAGATATCAATTTCAATGAACTGCTTTATGCAAATGATACATTACTAACAGCAACAGTTCCAAGTACTTGCATTTAGTGGAAGCAGAATCTAATTATCTTCATTTGAAGCTTAATCAAGACAAATGCGCGTTTATCTTCTTCTCCAATGGACAGCGAATGCAAACGTCTGAAGATATCTCTTACCTCGGCATACATGTGACCAAGAAAATCGATCCATGAGATTAGGAAGCGCATCTCGGCAACTATGGCAGTCCTCAAACAATTTGACATTTTTTGGCTCAAGACTAGCTGCAGCAAAAAATGGAAGCTGTTAGTATACGATGCATGTATTACCAGCAAATTTATATGGTTTGGAAACTTTAGAGCCCACGCAGGGGGCGGCGCAGCTTCTCAACACATTCCAACTCTAAGGACTTAGAAAAAATAAAAAAAAACTTAATTTGCGAACTACCCTACATCCAACGTGAAAATACCAATGAATTGATGTACAGCACAGTCAATGAAGCACTCAATGCGCCAATAGCAGGGCCATTCAGGAAAGCAAAACCCATGACAGAGAAACTTGAAGAAAGGAAACTCAAATTACGCGGACACGTGCTCAGAAGAGAAAGACAACACCCTCAACACCAAGTTACTTTCTCCACAGCATCAGCAATGCCAAGAGAAACGACAAACCGCAAGGTGGGAAGACCAAGACCCTGCTGGACCACCAACAACATGAAAAAGGCCTAGGATATTATGTGTATCAATAACCAAGCTCAGCCAAGACAACATTTCAACAAATATATATATATATAATCGCAATATGAGAGAACAAATTATTGCACAAGCAAAGCAATATCAACCACCCTGATTTCAATAATATCAATGTAATATCTATATATTCAGAAAGCAGTCGCAAGAATCGCCTCTCAGTGTGTATGTCCTCAATGTGAATCTCAATGTGAAATCACTTCACCTTCACTCACCTCATGCATTTGCTTATTTGATTGAAGTCAATGGTGGGGACAGTGAATGTACCGGTTAAGTTGTATATATATATATATATTTATAGTTTCTAGAAATAGGTTAGTGCCAACGACTTGACGCCTTGATAGGTTAGATAGTTATGGCGAAGAAAACAATATTACATTATATGTTCTATTTTTACTTTTAATTACGATTATTAAATAATCCAGGGTTTGCGCTTGTTTTTTTGCTAGGGAACTAGTATCTAGGATGGTGTGGTTCCCGGGGGCCACACTACGGGTTTGTTCCCGACGAATACCCTTCATCCTGTCCCCTACCTATGCAAGAGTGAAAGTGCCCCTCGCGTCCTTTGGCTCTGTGCGTAGGTGTTAGTGTTTTGGCCTTCAGTGCTATCTTAATGTCAGGTTTCTATATGAATTCAATTTATTTGTCTTTTGGTTCCCATGAAGAGTATATATTTTGCTGTTACGTATTATTCCATTGTCTGACCTATTGTCACCAGGAGGGGTGTAGGTGAAATGTTTTTATTGCCCCAGTGAATTGTTGGGTCTGGCTAGTGTTCGACACGTGTCTGCTCCCTCCTCTTTTTCCTCTGTTTCTTCCTTTTCTTCCTCTGCTCCCTCCTCTTTTTCTCCATTTCTTTCCTTTTTCTGCATGTCCTTTTCTTTTCTCTCTCCTTCTCTTTGGTTTCTTTTTCTGTCTGTGTTCCAGTTTCAGCCTTCAGCTGTGCTGTGGTGGTTGTTGGTGTTTGCGGCCTTACCTGGTGCTTGGTTTGTTAGGCTGTTAGGCGCCCTTTGTGCTTTGTGCTTGTCTTGTCCTTGCCTTGCACGATCGATTGCCTTTGGTGGGAGGCTAGCGTTTGTTCGCTGGCCTGGTGGTGGTTGGCATTTGGTCGCCTTGCGCTCTCTTGGCGTTGGTTCTCCGTGGCTCGGTGGTGGCTCGGCCTTTGCTCGCCGGCTTGGTGGTTGGTGTTTATTCGCCTTGGTTGGTTGTTGTTCTGGATCATATTGTTGTGCTGGCCATGGGTTTGCTATATGATTTGCTCTTCTCGCTGACCCGTCTGGTTTTGAGGAGATGTCCGGGGACGAGTTGGGTGATCCCTCCCCCCCTCCTCGTCTGTCCCTGCCTGTTTTCCGATTCACCGGATGTTGCTTGCGAGACACGGATGTTGCTTGGAAAGGTTCTATTGTTACTCAGGTTGCGTCGCTCCAGTCAGGAGGGGCTGGTTGGGACTGCTACCTTTGGGTGAGGCATTGGGGCCAGTCTTTGAAGTCGCCGGGGTGCGGATGTTGGGGTGATAGCTGAAACCCGTACAGTATCAGAGGTGCAGCTCAGCATGCTATGGCTATTCGGGATCTTGCTGATGGCTTCCTTGCTCTTTTTCATGGTGCTGCTGACGTCCTCCCCCGCGGGTCTGATTTGTCTTCTTACCCCCTGCTATCTCAGCGTTGGGCTGTTGGCGTGGTTGGGAATCACCTTGTAGAATGGCATGGTGTTGCGTGTGGTTGGTGTGTATAGACCCACTGGTGCTTCCTTGCCGGGATTTGATTCTGTCTCCGAGCGGGTTGCAAATGAGCGGCGTTTGGTGTCTTGGGTCCAGTCTCAGCTTGATTTGTGCCTGGCACGAGGTTGGCATCCGATTGTAGTTGGGGATCTTAACTTGGTAGGGGCTCCTTCTTTGGATTGTTGGGGTTCTTCTCATGTTTTGCGTCTTCCGTCTCTTGTACCGTACTTTGGCCTCGGTTGGTATGGTGGATGTTTTTTGCGAACGTCACCTTGCATTGGGTGCATTTACCTTCTACACACGTGGTGGTTCAGCCAGTCGCCTTGACTACATCTTTGCTGGCGGTCCTTTCTTTTCCCTCTACCCTCCGATTAATACGTTGGTCATTTGGCAATGTGAGCGCCGTGTTGATAATGACCCGGTGGTAGCTGATTTTCTGTTCCGCTTGTCAATCTTGGAAACTCCTCATGGCCCATCTGGATTCACCTGAGCTGGCTTCGCTACGATGTCAGGTTGCTGCTTCAATAGCTGGGAAGGGTTCTATACGTCGTCTGCTGGGTGGGTCCGTCAGCTGGGGTTTGCGGCTGAGGTTGTTGCCCAGGCTTCTCTTTCACTTCTGTGTCTAAGGTTCAAGCATCTGATCTTCTCTGGCCATGTGAGGGTGTGACGTTGCCCAACCTTCCTGAGTGTTTGTCTCTCTGTGTGAAGTGGCTGCTTGTTGCTCGTGCATTGCTGGCAGCTGCTGTGGTGTCGTAAGCTCAGGGTGTGCGGGCTTCTCGAGCTGTCCGGAGATATTTCTTCGTGGTCACGTAAAATGAAGCCTCCAGGCCAAATGAAAACATATTTCCCCGTTTCTGTGGTTGTTTCCTTGTTTCTGGGTCGTCTCGGCCTCCTTCTTCGGTCTCTGATCATCTATTGTGCGCATATCAAGAGTGGGCCCCAGTCTTGGAGGAACCTGCAGAGGCTTGGTCACATCCCAGTGTCATGTCCTGGGTTGATTCATCCAAGCACTTGCGCGGTACCCTTGACTGGGGTGCCGTGGCCGATGCTGACTTGGGGGACGGGTTAGCTTGCGTGTGGCGTGCTGGGAGCCGGGCCTTTCGTTGTCCACGTTGCGGTTTCTCCCTGCTGGGCGGGTCTGTGCACTGGTTCGCTTCGAGGCCCGGCCCCTGTCCAGGTTCCTCACGTCTGAGTTGATGGCTGTCCATCCGGTGTTTGGAGTACTGATCGTTGGTATGGCCTCGTGGGACCAGGCTCGGCGTGCCTCTGTGTGTCGACTTTGTGAGCCTGTTCAGTGGCAGTGCGTTGCCCCACTTGATGATGGTGAACAATTTGACTTGGTACGTCGTATGCGGGCATCAAGGCCTGGGCCATCTGGGTTCAAGCTAGGGTTCCTGGCCTTGTTTCCTGAATGGATTCAGAAGTTGTATTGGTCATTTTTGGATCTGCAGCGTGGCACTGGCATTGTCGCGTCTTGAAACTGCATTGCAATTGCACCTTCCCAACACAACAATTTGGGTTTTTCCGGTGCAATTACTTTTCAAGCGGTTTTGAGGCTTCAGCAGGAATTTGTTCGTTGATTTGCGGCGGGAAAATGCCGTGTCGAAACGCAAGATGGATCTCAACCCTACGGACTGGAAAGGTTCATATAGACGAGGGCCATCAATTAGCCCAAAAACCCAGCACATCTGAGGTTCTTTCGTTTTTTTTGATTTTTTTCTCCAACGTCTCTGCTTTTGTGCCATTCATATTGACCAAAAGGAAAACACATCTCATCACACACAGCCCATCACATAGTTCCCTTTCTCACTGTCAACGTGTGCCGTTTCAGCCAATCGTGTGCCGTCAAAGCTTGGAGCGATTGAGAGTTTGGACATACTCCTCTCCAAGTTTGATGTGCTTTGCCAAATGTTCATTGACCATCGGAGAGTCTTGGAAAATGAGACCATGCCCAATACCATGCAAAACGTCCACTTTCGTGTTAAAATGCCTTGCAATGACATTGGAATTCACAGGGCGGACAAGCCAATCCTCACTACCTGTCATGACCAGAACCGGCACTCCAAGTTTGCGAAGTGTCTCACACCGAGCATTGCTGACATGATGCGTTAAAACTGCGGCAAGCTGCTTAAACATCTCACTGGGCTGAGTTCTTGGGGGTGGTCCAGCTCCTTTGCTCTTCAACTCATTTGGAATTTCCAGGCTCATCAAAATGAAGGCTTTGTTCACCCACCTGAAGTTCGAAACCTCCTTGCCCTCATGCAATTCTGAGAGCCGCTTTCCACTAAGCCAACGGTCGGGAAAGTTCAGCCTCATGGAGGCCCGCCCTTGCTCACGCAAGTCTCTCCTTGGTACTTTGGTGGCTGGTGGCCACCAAAACTTGCATTCCACTTTGGTTAACGCACTGCGGATACGAATGCATGCACGCACACACACTCAAGATAAAGTACGTGGGGTCTTCTTGCCACATGTCCAGAGGAAACCTCGGCAAAAAAGAGGGAGAGAGGAACGCTGTGAGGGCCTGTGTTTTTCAATGGTTTTGTGTGTTTTTTACTATTTTTGGGCATGAAGTCTGTAGTGAAACAGCTGGTGCTGCATCACATGTTCCCGCTTCAAAAACACAAGAACTGATGCTAAGAGTAGTGAAGCAGCTGGTGTTGCATCACATGTTCCAAGCTACAAACACTTGATGAGAAGAGCAGGGGATTTTTTTTTGCATCAGAGGTTCCAGCCAGAGAAGCTATGGATGATAACAGTGCCACAGAAGTTATGGATGATAACAGTGGTGAAATAGTTGTTGTTGCATCACATGTTCCAAGAAGATAGCAATCTGTGTCAAGGGACGAAAGTGGAAGTTGGAGTTGAGGGACATGTAGATGCAGCTGTGCATGTTTGGCACTTAATCAGAGAAGGACCTGCTGAGCCCATTTGCGATGACTGTGATTGATGCGAAGTTGCAAAAAGTTAAGGGAAGTTGCTAAAGGCCAAGGCTACTTGAAGCCTCATATTTTCTACGTTGCGGATGTGGCATGACTGATTCTGATATGTTATGGTTTCACAGTGGTGAAGATATTCCACAGGAAGCCTACAAAGTCACATGACCTTCAGTGAACGGCACAAGTTCGAAAAGACATCAGCTCAAAGCAAGACGCTCAGGCAATATTTTTCCTTCCCCCAAGTGAGCTGGCTGTTCTTCCAAGATCACAGTACATCTCTTGTGACTACCTACCTCCCATCTGTACTGTAGTCATGTACTGCATTTGCATGGCTCTCTAGCTGACACTCAAAGGAAGACAAAGAGCTCTCTCTATAGATGTCATACTCACATATCAGAATCTCCAAGCTACTTCTTAGCGGCGTTTCTTCCTTGCCTTGTACCCAGACAAAGCATAAGTTCATGCGGAAGATACACAGGGCAGTGAATTACATGTTTACATATTTTTTTGGTCATTGTTGGAGATGAGGTGATAAGGCGTTGGGGTCAAAAGTTTTTTTGTAGAGAGTTTTGGTTGCTTTGACAATTGCCTTGTACCTGGATGAAGCAGAAGTTCATGAAGATTGTGTGCGTTTTCTCTCGAATGCATAGCGAAGGGTTCTCGTTTAACTCTTGGGGGTCTGGGGGTAGAGCCTTGTTCGCGACCCGTTGCTTCTATGTTCGCAACCGTCCGCAACCGTTCGCAACCGTCCGCAACCGTTCGCAACCGTCCGCAACCGTCCGCAACCGTTCGCAACCGTCCGCAGTAGGGCGCTAAGGCGCTGCCATTGGGGGAAGCTTTTGCAAGTGACTTTTCATAGATGTGTCACGTGTCAGTTTGCGACGCTATTCCATTGTGATTTGCGTGAAAATGACACGTCGCGCAAGGAGCGTGATGCATTTCGCTGCACAGGCGCAGCGTTTTGTGAGATCCGCAGGTTGCTACGCAGTTCCATTGGGATTAACGTTTGGAGAGTCGTGTTCTTGGGGTGTTGGACATGGCCGTGCCATTGGGATTTGCGTTTCAGGGTGTGGCATCGAAGCTCTGTTTTCGTGACAAGTCTCAGCTGAAATGCCGATTTTGGTGGATGGGAGTGTGCTCAGAACGGGTCGAAATCATTCCAAACGTGTGGTGTGGTGCAATTTTGTTGAAGCTGACATGAGATGATATTGTCACTATTCGTGGCAGGCGCAGTACTTTGTGTGGGTTTTGAGGCGTGGAAGTGCGATTCTCGTGGCAGGCGCAGGGAAGTGACATTTCGTGGCAGGCGCAGTACTTTGTGCGCGTTAGACATGTGGATGCGGAAAGATTCGTGGCAGGCGCAGGGAATTGTGAGGTCGTGAGTTGTGGTAGAAGTGAATGTCGCTGTCACAGTGGGATTGGCCTGTGAACGGGTGTTGTTTGGAGGGGCTGGACTTGCGAAACTGCTTGGCAGGGCTGCGTGATGTGTGTGCTCCGATGGGTGTTTCTGCTTGACTTTTGGAGGAAGTCTCGTACGAAATGCTCGTTTTGCAGACTTTGACATGTGACTTTTGGAGGAAGTCTCGTACGAAACGCTCGTTTTGGAGACTTGACACGTGACTTTTGGAGGCTTGACTTGACATGTGACTTTTGGAGGAAGTCTCGTGCGAAACGCTCGTTTTGGAGACTTGACGTGTGACTTTTGGAGGAAGTCTCGTACGAAGAGTGCCCTACAAGAGTGTCCCACAAGAATGTCCTACAAGAGTGTCCCACAAGAGTGTCCTACAAGAGTATCCCACAAGAGTTTCGTACAAGAGTGTCCCACAAGAGTGTCCCTTAAGAGTGTCCCGCAAGAGTGTCCTATAAGAGTGTCCCACAAGAGTGTCCTACAAGAGTGTCCCACAAGAATTTCCTACAAGAGTGTCCCACAAGAGTGTCCCACAAGGGTGTCCCACAAGAGTGTCCTACAGGAGTGTCCAACAAGAGTGTCCTACAAGAGTGTCCCACAAGAGTGTCCTACAAGAGTATCCCACAAGAGTTTCCTACAAGAGTGTCCCGCAAGAGTCTCCCACAAGAGTGTCCCACAAGAGCGTCCTACAAGAGTGTCCCACAAGAGTGTCCCATATGAGTGTCCCACAAGAGTCCCACAAGAGTGTCTCACAAGTGTGTCCCACAAGAGTCAAGAGTGCCCTACAAGAGTGTCCCACAAGAGTGTCCTACAAGAGTGCCCCACAAGAGTTTCCTACAAGAGTGTCCCACAAGACAAGAGTTCCCTACAAGAGTGTCCCACAAGAGTGTCCTACAAGAGTGTCCCACAAGAGTGTCCTACAAGAGTATCCCACAAGAGTTTCCGACAAGAGTGTCCCACAAGAGTGTCCCACAAGAGTGTCCTACAAGAGTGTCCCACAAGAGTGTCCCACAAGAGTGTCCCGCAACAGGGT